TCAAAGGACCCCTACTGCGCAGAAACATCCGTAAGTTACATGATTCTGGTGGATGAATCTCTGAAGAGGTGCCCTTTATGTCCGTCTCTCAGCAATAGGTTTGGAACAGACATGTTTTATTATGAAAAAGGACAATGGCACAAAATTAGTTTGTATTGGTATTGCAAAGAGGTGATATGGTGGTGCAGTGGTTAATTAAGAACGTTTTGGGAAGTATGTTGGAGTGTTAAGGGACAACTTAAGGTACTGTAGAACCTATGAAAGACAGCATTAAGAAGGTTTTGAGAAATGCACCCTTGGTCACTATAATTATGACATAAAATATTCATACCATTTCCTCTCTAATTTGTACAGTAGTTCCCCTGTATTCATGGGTGATACATTCCAAGACCTACCGCAGATACAATATATACTTTGTACTGTATGTATTGCAATGAAAAAGTGTTATGTATTAATAGATGACAGAACATAATAAATCATATTTCTATACTCCTCAAAGGATGAAGGAATAATGAAAAAAATAGGCCACTTTTATACATTGTACAGTGAAAAACATTGTATCATGTACCTGTACATAACTTTTAATGGGAGAAATTTATTTGTTCAAAATTCTTAGCCTGTTGAGTGTCCTCACTGGCTTACAGCCTGAACTCACTCGGCTCATTGTTTGAAACTTATGAAACTCTCTCTGGAGTTTTTAAACTTTTTTTCAGGCCACAGTAAAACACTGTATCTTTTGGTTATTTACTTATACAGTACATACACTTGTCATAATTATACTCGTTTGTACTACTATACTCACAGTTGCACTACTCTAATACATGCCCACCTCATACTACATACTTATGTATTCGTTTAATAAATACGCTGCTGTATACCCTAAGCAGTCACTTTTTCTGCCTCTTCTATATCTTTCTAGATTCTTATTTTATGTTTTTGATACTTTACCTTTTTGTTTGTTTATTTATTTAACTTAAACTGGTATATTTTCTCTCCCTTGATATTCACATGTATCATTGAAGCATTGCTGGGGAATCGCACGCATTGAGTTTCGTTGTAACTTGTAACAATGACAACAAAGGCATTCTAATTCTAATTTTTCCCAGGGGGTGCAAGGTGAGAGAGCCCACCCAGTCATTCATCCAGATAAATGCATTTGTAAAAAAATAAAAAAAAAGCAAATACCTTTACAATAAATTATTATTACACATTGATCTGACTGACACAAGCCACATTTTCAAAGAACTTCACAGTACAATTTCATTTGACATAATATGTTCAAACCACATTTTTATCTGACCCTATAAAATCACAGGAGAATGCATGTTGTGCAGTTGAGAGCAAAGTAATTCCTGCAGTTGCATCATTAAAAAGGACTATGTTTAACTTCCCCGTAGTTTGATACTCTGTGATGGGCTGGCATCCCATCCAGGGATGTACCCCAGCCTTGTGCCCTGTGCTGCCTGGGATGGCCTCCAGGTCCCCTTGTTACCTGATACTGGCTGCCAGTTCAAATCTCAGATGATGGTGATGTCACCGTAGGGCCCCTGAACAAGGCCCTTAACCCCCACAGAGTGATATCACCATCGGGCCCCTGAGCAAGGACCCTAACCCCCACAGAGTGATATCACTGTCGGGCCCCTGAGCAAGGACCCTAACCCCCACAGAGTGATATCACCATCGGGCCCCTGAGCAAGGACCCTAACCCCCACAGAGTGATATCACTGTCGGGCCCCTGAGCAAGGCCCTTAACCCCCACAGAGTGATCCTTAACCTCCACTTGCTTCAGTAACTGTCTGACCCTGCCTTCAATTGTATCGCACTTTGGTAAAAGTATCTGCTAAATAAATAAACTGTAATTGTAAATGAAATTGATGCAATATCAAATTAGAAATGTAATTGTAATTATATGGTTGGAATGGGAAAAATTTCCAGACTAAATGCCTTGTATGAATGATTTTTACATGCTGTTTTATTTTTACCTGCAGAACCCATGATGTTTTCAGCACCCCCAGGTTAGTGTGTAACAATAATATTCTTATCAATATTCTTTATTAATTTTTACAGTGTTTCACTTTGATTTGCAGGAAGCAAGATGCTTTTTGGTGCTTCAGGTTAGTTTGTATCACTTTATATTTGAACATGTTGTAATATACACAGACAGTACTCACAGAAAGTCTTTTGACACTTGCTTCATTTCATAACAGTATTATTTCAGGTAAATTATTTCAGGTATTTCAGATTACTCAGATAAATTTAACATTTAACCCAACATGTCTCCTAATATGACAGTGGGATGTTGAAATTCCATTTAATTCCATTTGTTTGTTTGTTTTTTCCTTTACAATAACAGGTCAATATTGCTCAGGTAAATTTAACATTTTACTCATCAAGTCTCCTATTTTGTTTAACAACATGTCTCAGTGTTAAAAATAAGAGGCCCAGTTATATTACAATGTTTGTTTACGCTGTTCTTTTCTTTCCTTTTTTTCAGATGAAGATGAATTAAGTAAGTTTAACATTTTACCCAACATATACGACTCCTAAAATAAGACTGAATAAGTAAAAAAAAATAATAATCAAGCATGTTGAAATTCCATTTCCTTAACAATACATGTTATTGATGTTAATCTCTTTTTCAATGTCCACAGAATTATTAAAACAAGTATTAAGTGTAATTTCTTTACCAACATGTCACACTGATGTAAATTCCTTTGTTGTGATTCTTTATATGTAATTTAAAGTAACAGGTTTGAAATTGACAAAAATGTTAGTTTCTTAGCAAAATAATCTATTTTAGTGTTAAAAGTTATTTCCCTGTAACCAGTAAATTACTTGGATAATATAGTATCTATAGACAACTCCGATGTAGAGATGCTGACAAATACCCCTTGAAGGGAGCAGTTTATTGTTGAAATAAGAACAAAAAATATTTTAAAAGAGAAGGACCTATTTGGAGAAGGCAGGCCTCAGTGACACTGCACTTTACTGCATAGAAAAATCTTAGAGGGCAAGAGACCAGTGGGTTACTTGCACATTGATGTCCTTGGTCCTGGCCAGGCACTGCAAGGGTCTCACTGATGTATATCTCTTTTTCGGTGTCCCCTAAAAATAAGAGGTCCAGCTCAGAAATGTTATTTAAAAAGAAAAGATTTCTTCATGATGTTTTTACCGCAACA